TTGCATTCACTCGGTTTGCTAGGCATATCCTCAAGAATATGTGCATGCAAGGGAGTAAGGCCCTAACCAGTGCAATTACCAGACACCTCATAGACATTAGACATCAAGTTGAAACCTTGAGTCCTTTTAAAATAATAAACGCACAGAAAATGTTTGGAATACCGCGCTGCATCAAATCAATTTCTAAGAAACGCTTTCAATATGATCTCTGCATACAGAAAAAGAGCGTGGTTAATCTTTCACTCTCTTGGTGACGAAAATTTGATCCTGTTTCATTTTAACTACATAAATAAATGTTTATTTATTTGTTTGTCATTTTTCCTTTCTTTCAATTCTTACTCCTCCGTGCAGTTAATCCTTTTACATGTAGCATAAAGCATTAAGAATTTTGTTGTACAACTTAAGATTATTGATTTCCTGATTTTGAAGTACCTTATATGCTGATAGTCATTGTGATTTTAGGCAGTAAGCAGCTGAAGAGTGTTTGTAGAAGAAAATCAAACCATTTTATCCTGCAAATCTCGTCCTTCTTGCTTTTTTTCAAATTTATGTAAGTATCTAAATGCATAGTATTTTATTTTGACATTAAGAAGAAACTCTAAAAGGCACCCTACTATCAACAAACGATGTGACAAGTTACTTTTCATTACTTTATGAAAACCTGCTTCTCCAAAAGAAATAAAGAAGCTTAGTCAAAATTTTAGTCGTTTCTGAGATTGCCTTTAGAGTCATATATCATAAATACAGTAGTTCATAAAGCTCTGAGAGTCATATATTGACAAAAACGATAGTATGAAACTGAGGTGTAATTCAATCTTTGTAGTGACTTGTAACGGGCTAGGGAATGGTAACTTAAGACGGCATTCCCTACCACCACCAACCATCATGCTTATATACGAGAATACATTCTGAGTCCTGACTGTTGTTTTCTTAAAGTAGCAAACCTTAAATTGCTAGTTAGGAAAAACACATCACAGTAAATTCCTGACTATCTGTTGACATAATATTATACTGCGCCTAGCCAGTTGACTTTCGAATAATTTAATCATAAATTCCCCATTCGTGGAGGTGATGATTCCACTTTTAGTGTTTCAAACAGTATCGACTTTGCTAGCATTGTCAATATATCTTCCATTTGAGTGCTGACAAACATGAAGAATAGTTTCTGAGATTTCATTTTCATGACTGTAGACATGCACCAGAATATACTCCTTTTCTATGGAGTCTAATATTCTCTTACATCCTGTTATAATATTTGAGAAGATACCCATCCATTATTCATGTTCGTATTCATTGAAATCTAAGTCTGTGTACGTCTCGGAATGTACGTTTGAAATCCCTTATTAGATTGTTTATTCGATACACAGCAAATAGTGATAAAGTATAGTTTACTGCATATCGTTTCCATACGAGTAATAGATTCTGCTCGAAACATAATCCAGTTAATAATACTGTTTTATTTAAAAAACAATCTAATATAGAACTGTGCTCTGTGAAGGTGCCCAATTTCTACGCATAAATATAGTTGAAAATATTAGCAATAATAATCATACTTTGTGTCTTGGGTTCCTAGTGGAACATAGCGCTTCAGTAACACGTCTCCATTACACTCTATTCTCTCCAATCTTTTCAACCTCGATCCACAACTGCCCACAAGCCCTCATTTCTTCCTCACACCACCTCCTCCATGTCACCCTCAGCTGGGAAGCCCAACTCGTCGTTCCCCATCTGGGTTCCACTCGAGTATCTGGTCTGACGCGTGATGTCCCCAATCGGTTTTCTCAGTGCATCCCCATTCCATCTCCACTCGCTCTTGCATATTTGTTGAGCGATGGGTCCATTGGTTGGTTGGTAGCCAGTTCAGAGTTGATTGTTGCTTGTTCCTTCTGGCCATCTGAGCTTCAGTAACGAGCTAGTGTACGCAGTTGTTGATGAATATCTCCAGTTTGTTGAGAATAACTTTCGTAATGCATCACATAGAAGCACTGAGTTGACTGATGTTGGTGTTGAAAATCCGGATGTTGTTCACGCTTTATGCTGAGTGCAGTACAGTAGATCTCCACACTGGTTTCAGGTTAATGAACGTCTGTCTTGCTTTTCCGAACCTGACTTTGACGTCCTCGTCTATGCCACCACCAACTGCAGTTGAAACGATGCTGCTCTGCCAACTTGTTAGCTTTCGCCTGTAGATCTTCGAGTTTGTGTGACAAGAAATTGGACATAAATCATCATCATCATCATCATCATCATCATCATCATCATCATCATCATCATCGACTAAATCCAAATCTTCCTCTGGGATCTTTTCATCGGTCAACACAGCGTATGCCCATCTTCTTGTCATCTTCTCACTCTTATCTTGCGTTTGTCTTCGTTCCTCATCCTTCCTAACATGGTTATGCAGGTCTCTTTCAACATAGCTTTCAAAGACTTCCAGTCTTCTTCCACACACAAGTCTCCTCACAGATGTTTCACAATGTCTCCCATTTGGAGTTCGTGACTGACTGACTGACTGACGTGAAGATATCTTGTGTGGTTTCGTGCTTCAGTTTCTCTTCAGGGTGGTCGTTGAACTTGAACTGTTACCGTCTATCACCAACTTGTTTGAATTGAGGCATTTCAACTTGATTTTGAAGACAGACATATTGCTTGCATTAGGTGGTGGTGTGAGTGGTGTGAACCAACTACATCTGCTCCCCTTCTTCATCTTGTGTATAGTGAGTGAGCTGCGTCTCCACTTTCTTCACATGGAGATGAAGTCGATTTGGCGTTTAGTGAAGTGTAGTGTAGTGTAGTGTGTTCTGGTGTCTGTTGAAATCAAATGCATGTTGCTGCCTTGTGAATACGCTTGTATCTGTACACACACACTGCATCGCCTCCAATCACCAAATCGTTGAATGTGCAGAAGTCTGCAAACAGTTCTCCATTCGCGTTCATCATTTCACCGAATGCCTCTCAACCCATGATGAACTTTCTTCCTGTGTTGTCCACTCCCAGTTTGGCATTCATATCACCACACACATTAGAATTTTGATGTCGGCAACTAGGGTGGTGTCTTGTGCATTACTGATTGCAGTTTTCTGTAGAATTCCTCCTTCTTCTCTTCCTCATCTGCATTATTTGTAGGTGCGTAGTGTAGCACTGGTATTGTATGATTGTGACCTGCCTTCCTTCCTTCCTTCCCTCCTTTCGAGTTGAATCTTGCAATCATGATCCTGATCGTTGAGGAGATTGCTTCCCACTGCATGAGAGGCTTCAATGCTGTTGGGGAGACCATGATAGCCACTCGAAAACTGGGTGTGTTCGTGGTTGTCGTGTCATACGTGTGACGATATTGGAGTTGATTATTGACTCCTCTCCAGTTGACGGTGTGGAGAGTCCAATTCCATTCCATCTGCAGATTCTTCACAGATTCCTAGTTTTCACTTTTATGCTATTCCTTCTCATCTCTTTTGCAATATGGGTAGCCTTGTCAGCCAGCTTGAAACATTGTGTGGACATTGCATGTCCCCATGTTTACTTTTGCTTTGATGGAGAGAAGCAAAGACACATCGGTGAATTGGCTTTGCGAAGGCTTTCACCAACCGGGTTATTTCATCTCTAAGATTCCAGCAGGGAAGAGGTTTTTTATTTTCATATTTTGTCTGTGCTTTGAAGTATGTTTAGGGATTGGATTGGTTTTTCTGGGTAGGGTTGTTAGCCTTATGTCCAACCTTCCGTCTTTACGTTTGCTTGGGATCAGCTGGTAACTAGTGAACTTGTTAACGAGGCAATGTTAGAAATCATAATACTTGTAATGAAAGCGTTTATTAACCTTTTAGTGATATTTTTTCTCGTTGTTTATCGCTGAAGTGATGCTTACTTTAAAAATCACAAATAATTTTTGGCCTGATGTATTTGAATATGTTGAGAATTGCCCAAATGTCTTAGAAATGAAATATATCTTTAAATTCACTTGGTGCGTTAGTATCTAATCTAGCATAATAGATCCGTTCCTAGAACTGAGGCACATGCACCCAAAGTTGTTTTCGGTATGTGCATTCTTTATAACAGACAAAAGGAACCAACAATCGAATATATTGCTGTGTCTCAAGAAAATTACTTCAACTCAATCTATATCATACAAGCTTGATCCATCTACTATAAGAGGACTATTATTTCTCCTGAAGGCACCGTTTTGCTCTTTTATAAAATCACCAACCTATAAGAGCGTATATCCTTCAGAGCAGACCTCATAGTTGATGAGTTCAAATTTCCTAGTTTTAGGTATTACAGTAGGGACTTATGGAAATGTAGTGTTATACTTCTACGCTTACGATCTTTTATTCTATCACTGAGAAGAACATGATACCAGTTAAACTTGTTGACTCATCTAGATCAAAGTTGAGTCACATTTCTATGTCAAAAACCACAGATGTTTCCGATTTTGCAAATATACTGTCTTTCAAATGATGATCAGTTTCACACTAATGAAATTTCGATCGAGAAGGCAGCTTCTCCCTTTAGTTGTTGAGTAAAGTACAAAGAGAGAAGATGACCACACCACAGTTTTGAATAACATTATTGTAATATTTCAAGAAGACATATCCTCTGTTATTATTCTACATGCATAAAATAGTTTTTATTGTCAAAATCTAATTTTGACTAACGGATAATCTGCTTCAGTCGAATTTTTTCAAGAAATGTTGGGTATTATTTACTTTCACTATATTTTATGGTGGATATTTGTTTATCTCTAATCATATTCCTCAACTTCATCTCAGTTTTCCAAAAGGACATCAACTACAGATAGGAGTGTCCTGTAAACCTTTCCAGCACCACTCTTCAAAGTCTGGTGTTTAGGTAACACTCACGGTGGATGGCTTTATATTCGATGATCGCAATGTGAAGATCGAACTAGCTGTTAGTCAAGTACCACATAAAGTACTTTGAGGTGTAATCCTAACAGATGAAGTATAAAATCCCTGTTCCCGGTTTGTGGTTGATTAATTTATCTACACTGTTATCTTGGAGTCCATGGAAAATATCAAGTGCATTGAAAATCTTATAAAAGTAGTTAAAACTACCAAGAAAAACTGAAGCATACTCTTTGAATCATATCTATACCGTATGAAGTGCAGTACGGAATAATACAGTGGCATCATAAGGCTAAGTAGTAAGTTGACCATTGCCAAACTTATCGAAGAACTACACTTGCCAGGGACATTAAAGCGAAACATTCATTACATCTGTCTCAACTTTACTGATAATACAAGATATATGGTCGTCGCTAATTTTAATTCTGAATCGTACCTTATATTGCCTTAAATCACCAAGTCATATGATCCATCTGACGCACCTTAGGAAATTCTGACGTGTGTACAGATGCTGATCCATGACCACTGTTCTACAGTAACACAATATCCACTACCTCTTCCCCACTTTTTCTAAACTCTTTGAGGAATAAGACTGTTGGAACGGTATAAGAGACGTTGTAAAGATATTCGTTAAACACTTCAAATTATAACACTCAGCTACATCAAGAGCTCACAGGGAATTTTTCACTGTATGACTGACGAATTTGAAAACTGAAAGTGGTAGAGACTGTTTCCACTTCTAGACATTTTGTTACCTCTTTAATTCATCAGACTATCGGCCAAACCATCCTGAGTCCTACGATTTTTAATCACATTGATGTCAAATTTATCTACGCTTAGAAATCACCTTTAATTTCCGAACGGCTGACATATTTGTGTAATTTTTGCTTCAGTAACTATTCGGTTATGGTGTGTAGTGATCAGATAAACTATTATTTATTATTTCGTGATTTTATAGACTTTTTGAATGTGTAACATGATTGAATTAACTTTTTTCATGTGAGTGGAAAATCATGAATTTTTGTGAAAAAAATTCTTTCTTGCGTTTACGCTTACATTTATTTTGTCCTACCACAAAATAGCATTTAAGTTATAACTGGAGTTAAGGAAAAAATGACTTAGCTTACCCTAGAGCAAGAATTATGTGTTCGTACATTCGTAACTGTTCTGACGTTGAACTAGTAATTATTTTTTCTGCATGAATGTTTTAAAACCTTTTATCACCTGTAGAATCTATTAGATCAGACTATAGTTACGCGTTACTGCTTCGACAGTAACCTGATTCAAACTTGGTAACTTTCAGAACAGCGTTTTCAAATGCATCTTACATTCTAAAAAGAAAATTACATAATCACCTAACCCATCGTATTCGCATGCTGCTATCTAACATTCTACATATTCATAAATACTTCCTTATCTATTTGTTTAAAATCAGTCTATTTTAATGTGTTTGAAGTATAGGGGACTGCTATGGTTTATCATGCGACTAATGTAATAGCTTTCAAAAGAATAACTTGTTTATCAACCGAGTAGTAATTATCATCCCTCGTTATATATATATGCAAATTCTTAACAAGGTTCAAAGTGGTCTTAGTGGGGCGGAATTCCGTTCATTCATCGACCACATCTCACTGAATGTACTACATTCAAAAAACTAAATATTTTGATGTTGTGTTCTCTAAGCTGGATACTTGAACTGTGAAGCTTTCATTGTCATTCTAGACAACATTACCAGCCTAAACGTCTCGAAAAAGTGAGCTTGTGGATTCTGTTCATCAGTGGCTTAGTAGAATGTCTGAATGACCTCATGTGTGATTGGTTGTATTTGCTAAAGCCATGTCATTATCTTCATATGTATTTTAGTTGGTTGTTCCAATGGTGTGAACTTCGACCTTCTTGTTGTTTTTTTACTGGTTGACAGCTGGGACCAGTAACAATCAGTAAATCTGTTGATTGCCGACTAGCGTGAATGTCAAGTTTCGGAAACGTTTCTGGCATTCTTTCCATTTCCTGTGTCTAGGATTTCCACATTTACCTCATCAAATTCGTATCCACGGTAGTCTATATGCACTGATGTGAGCGAAAATATGTCGTGACGCTTCACTGCTAATTGGCATTCTTGTAGACGGATGCGAATATGGCTTCCAATCTGTCTGGTATAGCGTTTTTCTCAGTGTCTGCTCATTTCTTAGTGATGACGTTCAGTTTGTCTTCCTTTCCTTTTGTATCTTCTGGCCTGTATAACAGAGAAGAAAGAGATTTTACATTCATCAAGGACCGACTTGAGTTACAGCACCATTGAATATCTAGAAGCAGTGGACCGCTGTTTTGTCCTAGTATGGGAGTCCTCAGCAGTACGCACATACTACTCAGGTTTTCAAAGGCCTTCAAACTCTTGTCAGTCCGTGATGAATACTATCATAAAAACCAAATCCCCATTAGTAAAGTGCTCATTTTTGACATACTTCCAGACAGACAACCCCAATTTCTGATGAGGAACCATGACCTATGGGGTCAATCACTAAGAAGGAAAGTGGATGCCTACCGAAGACGTTGTCGATTCAAAGAGGTAAGAAACCATGGATTATCGAATCTCAAACCAGTAGACTAATTGTTAATGTGTTCGCCATTAAACCTGAAAGTGCTGAGTTTGATCACTAGCCGTGTAGTACTTGCGGAATGTTTGAGAGTCCCATAATGGAACGAAACAGCTGTTCAGTGTTCTCAGGTTTTCAATGATTCTCCAACGCATGTCAGCCCGTTATGAATGTTTTTTATAACTATAATCACCACTAACCTCAAAGCAATTTACTTATCCAATGAGTAAAAGAGTAAACAAATACAGTGCCTTCGATTTTACCAGGTTTTCTGAAGCTAACAACAAATCTCAAATTCATAGTCCAGTTGAAGTCGACAATGTAAAAGACACTACAAATAAGAAATAACTAACTTTTTACCGTAAAACATTTTGCTCTGAATTTGTGAGAACTTTAAAATGAGATAACATTGAACAAAGTTACAACCAGGGGAAATATTACTCACATAAATATGTTTATATAAAGTAAAAACGACTTTTTTCTGTTTATTTATATCGTAAACGATATTGAAAAAAAATTATGGTTTGTTTTCCTCTAAAATCTTTCTGTTTGCTGCATGATCAGTCACCACAATAGGAATATCATGGGGATAGTAGCAACCTTGTTTCACTCCTGTCTTCACTTCAAGCATCATAGCCATTTGATTACTTGGCATGTGGCATCTTCATATAGTTGTTGAATGATGTGATAAAGGTTTGCGGTACTCCGTAGTATTAAGCAGTTTCCAAATTACCTCTCGGTCGACGCTGTCAAAGGCCTTCTCGAAGTCGATGAAGTTGAGGTATTGTGTTGACTGCCACTCTATACTCTGTTCTATGATGATGCGAAGCGTAATTTGGTCTGCACATGATTTGTACTTACTGAAGCCTGCCTGTTCCGGTCGCAGTTTGAATCCAGTGCATCTTTAGCCTCTCAGATGATGCGGCTTAATATTTTGCTTGGGGTGGACAGGAGAGTGATTCCGTGCCAGTTCTTGCAAGCACTGAGGTCCTTTCTTCGTCAGTTTGACAAGGTAACCCTTCTTCTAATCGTCAGGTACCTTCTCTTCCTCCACACCTTCTGCAATAGTGGTGTGAGCATGTCGCTGTTGTCTCTGCATTGTTTCAGTGCTTCTGGCGGTATTCCATCTGTCCTGCTGCTTCCCACATTTCAGTAGCTATGGCGTTCAGGACTTCCATTTTCGTTGGGGGATTATGTTCACTTGTAATTCAGCGGCTGCAGTGGTATTTCGACGAGTGCAGTGGTGGTGGATTCAAGAGCTTTTGAAGTGGTAGCCCATTGTTTCCTTGTTTCTCTTCTTGGTAATTAAATTTCCTTCATCATCTTTTATTGGTCATCTGTGTTGATCTCTTCCCAGATAGCAACTGGTTATTTAATACAATGTTGTCAGGTCTCTCCTGCCTGCAGCCTGTCTGCTTCACTTGCCAGTGTTTCGTAGAAGTGTCTTTGTCTTTGCGTGCACTGTTTTGACTTCTTTGTCCAGTGTTTTATACATTGTACTCAGTTCCTCTTGTCGTTGAGCACCCTTGCACTGGTTTATCTTCTGCTTCACCATCTCCTCCTCTATCAGCTTCCAGGTATCCGTCGAGATCCATTCCTTGTCGTCTTTCTTCTTCCTTCCTAATACTGTTGTGCAGGTTTCTTTCCACATAGCTTTCAAAGACTTCCAGTGTTCTTCCACACAGGTTTCTTCAGGGATGTTCCTCGATATCTCCCATTTTGTTTTGATGGCTGCCGTGAAGATCTCCTTTGTAGTTTCATCCTTCAGTTTCTGGGTGTTGTACTTGAATTGAGGTCTATCACCAGCTTCCTTGAAGGCTTTCAACTTGATTTGGAAGGTTCCTTGCACTAGATAGTGGTCTGAACCTACATCTGCTCCTCTTCTTGACCTGTGTTAAGTAGACTGCGTCTCCATTTTCTTGAGATTGAGATAAAGTCGATTTGATTTTTAGTGTGTCCGTCTGTTGAAATCCATGTCGCTTTGTGGATATCTTTGTGCCTGAACACACTGCCTCCAATCACCAAATCGTTGAATGAACAGAATTCTACAAACAATTCTCCATTCTCGTTCATCTCACCGAGCGCTTCTCGACCATGGTTAGTTCTCTTCCTGTGTTGTCCCCTCCCAGTTTGGTATTCATGTCGCCCATTAGAATTTTGATATCGCCAACTGACGTCTTGTCCAGTGTGATTGAAGTTGTCTGTAGAAATCCTCCTTTTCTCTTGTTCTGCATTATTTGTAGGTGCATAGCATTGTATGATGTGACCTTCTTCCTTTTGAGTTGGATCTAGCTGTCATGATCCTGGAGGAGATTGGTTCCCACTGCATGAGAGCCTTCGATGCTGTTGGGACATCATGATAGCCACTCCAAAACACAGTGTGCTCGTGGTTGTCGTCTGGGTGACCGGAGTAGATTATTGATTCTCCAGTTGACAGTTTGGAGAGTCCACTCCCATTCCATCTGCTTTCGCGAATTCCAAGCACTTCAATGTGATACCTTCTCATCTCCTTTGCAATCTGGGCTGCCTTACTGGGTTCAAACATCGTACGGACATTCCATGTCCCCACGTTTACTTTTGCTTTCATCGAGAGTGAGAAGACACATCGGCCAATTGGCTTCCGAAGGCTTTCACCAACTGGTGTCATTTCGCCTCTCCGATTCCAGTGGGGAATAAATTTGTTTTCATTTTTTATATTTTGTTTGTGCTTTGAAGTTTCTTTAGCGGTTAGATTTGTTTTCCGGGGTAGGGTTGCTAGCCCTATGC